CTGTCAGACTCAGGTAAGGAGTAATCAAACAGTCAACATAGCACTTAAAGAACATATGAGGTTTAGCTATTATAGTTTGTGGAGTGTATAAAATGTATAGGCTTTGCCTGTATTATTAGAATAATTTCCATGCCTGTAACAGTCCATTTTTTTCTAGTTTTAGTTAAAGTACACTGTTTTCTACAATACACTGTATATTTGTGTCAATTATGCTATCAGTGCACCATGGTGTGTGTGTGTTCAGACGTTGACAATTTGTCTTACTTTCACCATGGTTAAGAAAAGCACGCAACATACAACTGACATCAGGTGTACAGGAGATTTCTACCGCACGTAGTAAATATTCTCTTGGTAAGCTGCTAACAAGGTCACTGATTTGTTTTGTGCCCCATGATGGCCATTTGACGATTATCCCAATGTGGATGTGCAGTACTTTTAATGGTCGAAGATGCACTGAGCTATTACTCACTGAGCTACTCACAGCTATTATGCACTGAGCTATTGCAGGCTTCTCATTCGAAAGTGCAGGTTTGCATTATATATATATATATACACACACACACACACACATGTACTTATGTATAGAAATAGCTGCAAAAGCGTTCTCTCTCTTTCCCTTGGTGAGACGCAAAGTGGCTATGACAGCTCTCTTCGTGAAACCCAGCAGTGGGCTGATGATTATTGCAAGGACAATGCTCCACATGTGTCAACCACCCAACAAATAACTCCAGTCATTTTCCCTTGCACTATTACCAACACACCCATTATTCCACCTACTATACAGGAGAAGGGCAAGACAAGCAGCCTGGGAGGAGAGGACTGATGGAGAGAGGGAATGAAAGGGGAAAAATAAATGGGGGGGGGGGGGGGGTGGCAGAGGAGAAGGTGTGAGAGGGAGTGTGAAAGTGGCGCACTCAGCTCTTTCTGCATAAAGATGCACAGCCATCTGTGTGTAGACAGGCAAGCGTCTGGCCGTCATTTGTCCAGTGCAGAGTGTGAGGTGGCGGTGTGTGAGTGGCACTACTAGAAGTGTATCTGTGTGATGTATGAGTTTCTACAGTGGTGTGATTACCGGAGCGGTGCTGGGGAACCATGCTCCTCACCTCATCAGTTCCAGAGCCTGCTCCCCACAGCAAACCACAAAACCACACACCGCAACCGCAATGCAAGAGCCATGCACCACAGCACACACACACACACACACACATGCCACAGCACCCACAATATTAAAAAGCAGCCTGGCCAGATCAATTGAAGCACAGGCAGAAAATTAGAATTTTAATAGAGTGGCTGGAAGCACTAATTAAAAAGAATAATTATGTTTTTTTATCTAAATGTGTAAAAATGAAAAAAGAAGGATTCACTCTGGTGGCACCTTGGTTAGGCTTAAATTATGGTCTATTTATTTGTTTGGTTTTTGCAAAAAGTAGACAAAAATTTGTCACCAATGTCCCATAGCTATTACATAGATATGAAGCAATATTAATTAACATAACACCTACCTACGGCATATGAATTAGGGAAATGCTGGTGTGTGTGTGTGTGTGTAATACTTAATTATTTGTGTTTGATCACCTTTGGACTGGCAAGTGATAAATACCTGTCTCCGTTATGATTAATCCAGTGAGTAAGGGATAGCAAACAAACTTGGATAGAGCAACACAACTGGCTGACAAATGGGAGATAATTGGTGTGGATACCATGAAAACTGAATCTAAAAGAAAGATGGAATGAAGAGGAAAAGAGTCTGAAACCTAACTGGAACATCTCAAGGTCTTGCTCCTTCCCCCAGGTTTCTGTCTCCGTGTGTCCTCTGAGAGTTCATTACACACCACTACACTCACATAGCCCTTTCTTATCTTTTATTGCCCATTTAAACCCTCACGCACATATAAAGAGACAGAGTTATAGCACAACAAAGCACTTTTTATATAGAACATATTTATAGTAAACATAAATTAGTGTTCCTGACTATCTGTAATGGTTTGTTTTGCCCTGAGCTTTTCCCATATTTTTCATTTGGCTTGCATTTAGCAGTATGTATATGGTGTTGGGTTCTCTTATTGTTTTCTTAATATTATGCAAGCTGTTATGGACTATTACATAAACACACACTTCACCTTGTTCAAATTCATCATGATCTTTCTTCATCCATTGCCTCTGTCCTGTTTTGATTGGCTAAGGCCATCAGACTGACGATTGATGGGAGCCATTGTGGTCAGTCATCGTTGGGTTTTGCTCTGACCCCTTTGTCGGGCCCAGCGAGTGACCTCTGCAGGGTTGAGGCTGTGGTCAGTCAGACCCTGTAATGACTTCACAGCTTATGGGTAAATATGAGCGATTGGTAATTGAGCCAATTGTGTGAGTAGGCTCTCTGAGACCTACAGGCCAGGCTTTGTCCTGTGGGCAGCTCTGGCTGGTGTCACACGGAGGGCAATGTTGTGGCAGCATGACCTGCTGGAGCCTCCAGGGTTAAGTAGTGTCAGGATACATGTGCAACAGCCTTGCCTGTAGGCTAGACCTGAACTCCAAACTCTGAACCCAGAGCTCTGTGTCCCAAATACCCTCCCAGAGATGGAGATAAGGAGCCCTGATCACTAGCAACAGAGGCTCACATGCTAATGTTCATCCACTTACAATGTCAAAGCTGTGCCATTGTGAGAACTCAAGTAACAATGAGCTTGCTATATGATACACTAGAAAAGTCCAACATTATAACATGAGCAAGGTGTACAGTGCACAGTGTAGCTGAGGGTCTGGAGTGGAAGACTGTGTTTCTAAAGTGTGTGTCTGTGTATTTTTTTCATAGAGTACGTGACACAAGATTATTTGTGCTACATCAAAGCAAAGGAAGTTCCTAGACTTCCCCACTGCACTGCCCGAGCATGGCTAGGCCCCTCTGCTAATCTGAAAGCGGAAAAGGAGACAATGTAGACTGTGCTCCTTTAACCCCAGCTCAGTTCATACTCATTTGTCTGTGTTGAAGCACTTTTAGATGATGGTATCCAATCAGTCAGCGCTCCAGGCCTGTTGGTTGTAGTAATGGCTGACCCTCACATGGCTTCTGGAGATTGGAACATGAGGGTTTCACTTGAGTCTTTCACTCTCCAGCTTCATGTAACACACTGCAGTATCGTTGACAAATTCCAGGGCACCCAAAGCTAGCCCAACTCACTACAGATCAGTTTGGCTGGGGGAAAAACAGAATAGAGGGAAGGAAAGTATATATGAGTCTGTCCATTTCAGTATAATCAGTCTCTAATTTGTTCAACATCTGTTTTAAGTGCAGTTGTGTCTGTAAGAGTTGTTACTTCTGTAAGAATGTGAGTTCAGTCACTGATGCAGCTTACAGAAGCAAATACAGTAGCAAAAAGAGGTTACGGAGCGAAGCATACTGGTGCAGTGGTGGAGGCCACTTCAGCTACTGGCATTTTTGTAACTACATTAAACAAACCCTCAGAAGGCCTCAATGATGCATGCAATCTTAATTTTTATTACCGCAATTTATTATACACTCCCCCAGCTAATGACAGATCCAACTGTCATTAACAGATTAATTATAATTTCCCCCTGTGTGTGCACTCAGACTGCGAGAGAGCGTACACACAGCATGAGCGAGTGTCTGTGTGTGTGCAGGTTGCTGGGACAATAACAATGTTTGAATCAAGGTTTGGCAAACAAAATACCTTAGAGCTAATAATGTCCGAAAAGGAATTTTAATTAAAATAATTAGCACATATAAGCTAAAACAGTGGATGTTTTACTTCCTCTCTAGTGTTCTAGCACAGTGTAAACAAAGTCAGGCCTCTGAGCAAACAGTTTCATATATTTGTTATTCCTCCATAGCTTCCTTTGCTACCTTGCATCTGTCTGATAATTCTGTACTTGAATCATCTTATTTCTCTGCATTTCTCTCCTTTGTAAAGATGAACTGAGGTCCTCCTTACAGTCAGTGTATATAACAGAACTATATTCTTCAATACAATTCCTCCTTCTATATTTCTATCAATCTCTCTCAATTTCTCCCCTTTAATCTCTCACTTTCTGCCTTTCTTTGTCCTCTCTCCTTCCCTGCAGCTTTTTCAGAGCTGAAATAGAGCCTCTTTGCCCTGCATTTGCCTTTGTGTCACAGCCCAAATACATAGAACGGCCCCTGACAGTGCTATCAAAGAGCAGAGAGGACTGGAGATGTGTCCTCTGCTTCACCTAATGTAGGGCCTCTGACTTCATCATCTGACCCACTCTGACCCAAGCATACTGCAGATTCATAGCAGGGCTTCTCTATCCTTCTCCCTCTTCTCCATACGACACATCTGAACCTGCATCTTCATACGATACAACACACTGACTACAAACTGTGAGACAAATTACAATCTACAGAGAATACTATAAATCACCAACAGTTCAACATGTACTGCCCAGCTCTAACTGTCTCACACTATTAGAATATCTCATACTACATTAGGTAGCTTTTACTAAAATGAGATACAGATCTATTAAAACTAGGGATGCATCAACTCCTTTTTTTCATCTGTACAAGAACAAGTATTCATTTTGGGTACCCATTGATACCAATACCTGATACTGATACCGAAATAAATAACCTACTTATAATTAATCAATCATGGATGTCACAGAAAGTCATTTTATTTAGTGGCGTTTGTGTTTCTCCAGTTTACATAATGGCCATTAAAAGTGCACACATGGCCACTAGACCCATTTTAAATTAAGTGCATTAGCTAACTAGATTAGTTACCTTGGAACAAGTAGGGTTGTAGTTTGTTTTACTTTGGGATAGTGCTTACAGTATGTACATTTGTTGTTGTTCTTTCGGCTGCTACTGTTAGGGGTCATCATAGCAGATCATTGGTCTGCATATTTGATTTGGCACAGTTTTTACACCAGATGCTCTTTCTGACACAACCTTCCCCAATTTTATCTGAGCTTGGGAACGGCACTGGGAGAGCACTGTCTTGTACAACCTCAGTGGCTGGGGTCGGTTCCCTGGCCGGGAATCGAACCCCGACTGGGGCGGCAAGAGCGCCGAGGCCTAACCACTAGTCCTCCAGGGACCCTACAGGATGTAGAGTTACACTGCAGAAGTAACTCCATTATTACAATAGCACTTCTTTTTTTTTTACTGCTATATAAGAAATTTAGATTGAACTGATGTAACTAAAATTGAATCAACTTTAAACTGCTTGTTCAGCTGATGAATATAATTGTATTGTGCAAACTCAAAAGGCCTGTTGTAATCGAGTACTTAAGAAATGTAAATCCTCAGAGCAAATGTCCCATTTTGAACAAAAAAACAATGCTTTTAGCACAAAAATGCTTTTCTTTCTTTGTTTAAAACTTAATGAACTTAGCAAAATAACAATTTATTTTCCCAACAATAGTAACATGACAATTTTTAGAATGTTGTTTACATAGAGTTGCCTAATCAGCTAGACCAAATGGACTGATACATTTAGATCTGCTGTAGTGATGTAACTGTTATCTTTAATCTTGTGCCTTTTAGTGAGCTAACTGATTTTTCTCCCCTACACTACTGTGAGTGATTGATTTAGGTCTGCATGTTGCAGTGAATCAAATAAGATTTGAGCCTGGCACAATGACAGGAACTGCTTGACAGAACTGGCTTAGGTCCTCAGTCTTGAAATAAGGAACGAAAGAGAGAAAGTGAGCGGGGGAAAGAAAACAAGAACAAGAAAGAGGCTTGCATCCTCAAAGGATGTAAAGAATGGAAGAAAGAGAAGCAGAATGAGTGTGTTATGATGAGAAAGAGCGGGAGCAAAGGAGAGCAGAAGAACACCTGTGTGGAAGTGGCTCAGGGGAACATGTGGTACATTGTAAGGAATTTGGCTGTGTCTCAGCTACTTTTGCAGTGCCGGAGGCTTTTTGCCTCTGCTGAGCCCGAGCTTGCACACTGAGCAATGTTCTCATAGGTCACCAGAAGCTAGACATGCTCTGGGAGACTTTCTGCCTGCACAGAAACATAGTTTTATTAGGTCTATTTAAGCATGGAGGTGACCTGCTCTCTGTGCTGACAGAACATTCTGCAACTCTCAAACTTTATTTTCGACACTACTCTGCAAAACAACAGTTCAGTATTTGAGGCTTTTATTACCTTATACCTCCTAAAATATATCTGGTGGTTTTACATGCATATGGCAGAATACACTGTAGGAATATACATGTCCTGTTGAATGTGTTTGATTAGGAGAGCTAGGAGAATAAGCACATTATGAAATATTAAATAGGAGAGTGTGGCAGAGCAATAAAAAGGGCACTAAGAGAGTGTGACAGGCTGAGGTGGAGGATATATGTGCTGCTCACCCCAAATGAACACACTGAGACTAATACTGCTGAGCTTCATGTTTCATTTATGTGGCCACACTCGCTATGAGAGAGAGCAGAGAGAAAGGGGGTTCATTAAAGATTAATTAAGACAAATGCAGGGACAACACTCACCTCCAGCTGCATCTGCATCACTGATCCAAGCACAATGGACACACACATGCCCAGACACAAACACAAATGCATTCTTGTTTAGAGAGACACTGAAATATAAAGAATCAGAGCAAAAAAAAAAAAAAAAAAAAGAAAGCAGGAAGGGCATAAAGGATGCAATGAGAGAATGATCCTGAGTTCACTGTAAAAGATCTAAGACAACTACTGAGATGTTTTGTGTGTGTGTGTGTGTGTGTGTGTGTGTAGAGAACACATCCTTCACAGGATCAGAAATGTCATGTCTGAGCAGAACAACTGGTTAAACAATTAGTTTATCATTTGTTTCTAAAGATATTGTTACAATTTGACCTGAGCCAGGTTTGAACCTCCAGGCAAGATGAAGGCCATAAATATAAAGTAAAAGGAATGGAAAACTGCACTGAAAATGTTGATCCTCTCATGACATTTGGATGGAAAGTAGGATACAGGATGAGCAATCACAAAAAAAAAAATGGAATGGCATTTCTAAGTGAGAACTGCCTAACCTAAGATAATAAAACAAAAGGAAATACAATATCTGTGTAATCACATGGCATATTTCATTACATATATTGGTGACAAAAATACAAAGTACTGTATCAAAATACGATTCTGAAATCTGGTTACAATGTACAAAAGATCTGGACTGTACACAATACAAATGGTCATCAGGCCCATTACCACCTTTATTTTTAGGCTCCTTATATTGATATTGCAGATTTACATGGATCTGGTAATTTAACAGCATGCTTACCAAACCTCATCACGTTTTATAGACAGCCTTAACATCTGTTGAATCTCTCTCTCTTATACATAATGCGTCTCTTGCATGGTAGCCAAATGGATCCTTCACAACTTGCAAAATAATATATTAATTATTCATACCTTTAAAACTGTGCATGTACCTCTAAAACAGTGCATAAAAATATGTATGTAATATACACAGCAAGGCATCTGTATAATTATTATGATTACTATGATCCTGCTATTTCTATCAAAAATTCCTTTTTCAAAATATTTATTGCCTTCTTGCTGAGGCTTCCAGTTATAAACAGCTTTGTCTGCCTTTTTTTCAGAAACGGAAATGAAATTGCATCATATTGCAATGATTTATGGGCAAGTTCTGCTCCTTTGTTCCCTCACCCCTCACCCTGTCCTCACTCATTCCCTCCAACAAACCTGTCCAACAAACTTCACTTAAGCAAAGAGAGTAATAGACCAGCCCTTAAAATGGCTTTAGGGATTCCAAAAGAAAGTTGATATGGACATGTAAAGGGTATTGAAACTTAGCCTACCTGTTACTTTTTTTTATGCTTACCAAGGACCTGAGGAGCAGCATGGGAGTGGAGTTAATAGTTTAGCTGTTCTGTCCGTTAAAATGCTAGAACAAGAAATTTGGGTTTGATTGCAATCATGGATGATTTTGCTTCCCTGTAAGTGAGTGAGTACCATACCTTTAAGTCTTAGACATACACTGTAGCTCTACATGGCTTCAGACAGGGTGAAGTGGCATGCCTTGAGAGCATCAACTTGGATGAGATATAACAATAGCAAGGAAATTATACTGTCATTTGTTATTCATTAAAATTAAGAGTTCTTTGGGATCTATTGGGAGGATTGCACTGGGAGGCCCATAAGATCTTAGTTGCACCACTGGTGCCAGATGCTATATCTGTTGTGCCAGAAGTGTTGCCATTCTTGTTGCAGACAGCCTTTGTATATTGACTTGATGTCCAACTGTCAGTCACAACATTGAGTCTGACTCTTTTCTGAATTATCCTAACCACACATTAAATAGAGAGGGGGAAGGAGTGAAAAGAAAGCCACACAACCATGCAAAAAAAAAAAACAAAACACTGGCATATATCCGGGGTTGTAACGATATGCCATCTGAAATCATAATTTTATTGCCTATATTAAAGGCCCCTTGTGGTGAAACCAATAGTCAACAAAACATACCTTTATTGTGCTGCAGAAACCAGAAAGTGTTTGTGTTATAGTTTTTAAACAAATTTTATTGCCCTAAGTACCTCTAGTTCCTTTGTGTCTTTAATGGGGTCTCTTAACTCCATGATACTTTAACTGTGATTATTAAAAGGCCCTCATTTGTTCATTCATTTATTCATCTTCAGTTCTATCCTGGTCAGGGTTGCAGTGGATCCAGAGCCTATCCCTGGAACACTGGGCATGAGGCAGGAATACACCCTGGATGTGATACCAGGGTCCATTGCAGTGCTAGAGCACCCTGCATACCCATATTCACACCTAGGGACGGCTAGCCAATCCACCTACTGGCATGTTTTTGGGTGGTGGGAGGAAACTGGAGAACCCGAATTGACACAGGTAAAACATAGAAACCTGAACTCAGGATCGAACCCATAACCCTAGAGCTGTAAGGTGGTAACATTACCCACTGTGTCACCATGCTACCGTAGTTTGTTTGTAGCCTGTATAAATTTGTATTAGGTTATAAGTATTGTAAGTTCTTCTCATTGGCAGTCAAAAATTTGAAAAATAATCTAAGGTTCAGGTTGGACTACCAGTGTTTGGCAAAAGCATTTTAATCATTAGCTATTATTCTCTGCTACTCAGTAGAGAAGAATTGCTGTTGTTCCCCTTGTCATCAGCAGGAGTTTACAGCACATGCTCCCTGCTCCAAACGAGCCTGAAACTCCCACCAAAACCTTGGAAACCAGGCGCTGCTTCATCCTGCAATACCCTTTATGACTGTGTGTGTGTG